GTGAGTTCTAACTAGCCCGGCACCTTGTTGCCTAATTAGCATCTTTATAAGGTGCTTCTAAACTTTGATAGAGAGGTGTAGTCTTGGCTAGACCGATTATTTTAATTATGCACTCATTTCGGTTAGTCAGCGTGATTAAATTTAGAAAGGACTATTCACCCCCCCCTCTAGTCCGCCATCTCGACCTTACAGGTCCTCACTTTCCCGGTAGTCACCGCCGTCAGTCGGCGTAGCTATCGCATAAGACTACCACCAACGCAAAAGAAAAGGGGAAAAGCAAACATAGAATAATATGGTGGCACTAGGGTGGATGCATAGAGCTAGATTTTAGGTGGATTTTAGAAGTGGTTTCACCTAAAATGGAGTTAGGATGCAAAAGATATGCATTTTATAAGTTTATTTCATAGCTAATTATCTAGATGGAATTTTATATGTATTTTTTGGTCCATGAAAATATGTGCAAACTATATGGTTAAATTAGTTAACACATCTAGTTTATTTACAAATTTTCTAGGAATTTTTCTAAGCTAGGAAAGTGGTTTTATAGCCTTCTGTGTACACTAACCGGGTGCACCTAGCATTTTCATAACTGTACCCAACTCTGTGTGCGTGTGACGTGTGTATGTGTGTATGATGACAGGTGGGCCAGGCCACCACGTCAGGGGTGATGGCGCTAGCGATGTTACGGCCGTGCGCCCGCGTGACAGAGGGAGAAAGAGAGAGAGGGAGAGGACGGGACGGGACATGACGGTAACGGCTACGCCGTTGCCGTATGGCCCCACAAGACATAGAGAGAGGGAAGGGGGAAGGAGAGACGGCGGCAGCCGAGACGGCCTCGCCGATTACGAAAGAGGTGAGGGAGGTGTCGAGCTCGTCGGAGTAAGTCACGCCGGCGACGTCGGGCCTTGGTGGTGACGGGTGAAAGGTCAACGGGGCTCGGGAGGCCATGTCGTAGCCGGTGGTGACCTTGCCGGCGACAACGGGTGCCCGAGGTGACGACGGCGGCTCACCGGAGGTTCCACGATGGCGCCGCTCAACGAAAACATCCCTAGTGGCCCTAACTATCCTAACCAACTACACGTGCGTGTTCGTGGGTGAACGGTGAGTGTGACAGGGTACTCTAGAGTCCAGCCAAGCCTTGCCGTCAACTAGCCGCGGGCATGGCGGCATGGCGGGGCGCGGTGCACGGTGGCAACGCGACACAGGGACCTAGACCACTAACTAGCTAAAGTAGAAGGAAGAGGGGGAGCTTAGGGACTCACCTGCTAACCCAATCGACCAAAGGCGCAGCATGGAGGGAGGGAGAGGAAGGCGGCTCCAATGGCGCCGGCGGCTCCTGATTCAGGAAAAACCGAAATAGGGGAAGGAGGAGAGGAAAGGGGGAGATGAGGTGTTCCAGCTCAAGGCGGAGCTGGTGGGGAGGAGCGTGAGGTCGGAGCAGCAATGGCCGGGCCTATTTATAGGCTGGCCATGTCGGTTCTGGCGGCGAGATACTTTCTCGCCCGCCGAGCTCACCGGGGCGTGCACACGTGCCTATTTCCACTAGGTCGGTTCGCCACGGTGTGGGCTTGCCCACGCGTGCGGCTGGGAGAGCTTAGGCTCATCCATGGCGGTATGGCGAGGCAAGCTCGCCGTCGCGTGTCGAGGGAGGAGCAGTGAAGAGAGTGAGAGAGGAAAGGAGAGGTGGTGTGGGGTCGCGAAAAGATCTTCGCGAGCCTATCCTTTCACCGGGGTGAGGCGGTGGTGGTGGGGCTGGCTAGCTCGGGCGGCGACGTGGTATTCAGTCATGGCCGAGAGTGAGCGCAGCGGCCCGGCAATCGGGGTCCAGACCTCCTCCTCCTCCTCTCTCTCTCTCTCGAGTTGCGGAGGGGAGGGAGAGGAGAGGGAGAAGGGAGTGGGCTGCTGCCGCTGCTGCCATGGGCCGAGAGGGAGGAATGAGCCCATTGCTCATTTTCCATTTCCCTTTTCTTTTTCTTTTTCCCCGATTTCCTATTCTATGTTTAAATGCAATTTGAATTCAAATTTGAACATGCATGTATGCAAGGTATGCCACCATATGCTCAAGCAAACAAGCAAACACTCAAGCACACATTTCTACACTATAGTTTTATTTCTTGGTTGGCCTATTTATTACTAATTACTAGGTTATTTATTTAGGTGATTAGGTTATTAGGCAAAGTTTTAAAAAGTTCAAATTTTTAGTGATTTCTAAACTAAGTCAAATTTTAGGGTGTTACACAAGGCAAGTATATAAATCCCCACACACTCAACTAGTGATTACACTCACTAGCCTGGGAGCACCGGAGGATTCCTCTACGATAACATGCCAGTGTGCTCAACTATGCTGAAACTAGCCGTTAAACTCCGGTGAGATCTTCAATATGCCAACGGAGGTTTTCGGTGAGTGTAACGCTTCAAAGTGCATGAAAACACCCTTTGGGATTACTCTCCGGCACACCTCTCTGATGTTGCACTAAAGAGCTCCGGTGAGCATATTTGAAATTAGCGTTCTTCCTCTTGCACTGTTCAAAAGCTCCGATGCACACCAGAATGTTAGGTTTGGATGTTCGAAAACAAGCTAAGTGGGCCACTGTTACAACCCTCCAGTGCAACATCGGAGAGCTCCGATGACCCTACAAACGGTGCACTCATCGTGTTTTACAAACGTGCTAGCTCCAAATGGTTTCCCACAAGACAACCTTCACCTCTAGCACTTAATTAGAGTTTTTAAGTATTTTTAAAGGTTGGTCGTGTGATTTTCAAAATACCACCTGAATCTATATGCAATGCAAAGATCGATCTCACAAGTGGCACTAGATAACCGTATACAAACTTTAAAGAGCTAAGAGGTAATCTGTTATGTTGAGTACCCTTCATTGATGATCCCTCCATGCATGCTTGTTCTCTCGCTCTTGGTTTGACCCCCCAATAATAGTGAAGATGTGCCCAAGCAAAGGTAAGATTGAGTTCACTTTTATACAGATGCTTCTTCTTGATTTTCTTACTTTGGGCCAAAGCCTTATAGGGTTGGTTTGCCAATTGTTGCTCTAAAGGATGAGCCAATGAAAGAGTTGGAGTATCACTATTTTAAGGAGTTAGATTGCAGTAAGGTGCTAAAGCTGACTGAAAGTTGGCCCGCCATTGATTGTTAATAATGGGTAATACATTGTAACTCATCTTCGGGAAATAAGTTACTACGAGGGTTGGGGGTGGAAAATCGTGGGAAATTGGGCAATATGATTCCGGATGGTCCTTTTGTCTTTTTGTCATAGTTGTGTGTGAAAGATATTTTGGAGGTTCCACTTTTCTTGCTCTTCTTTTGCTTTAATTTCCATAATCATTTTTATCAAACTTACATTCTTTGTATATGTGTGCCCAACGTTTTCGCCACAATACATGCAATACGGTGGTTCTCTGCCTTGGCATCTACCGCCTTGACCTCCAAGTCCTCCTCGAGAAAAATCTTCCCCGCCCCTTTGCTTGCGAGACTGATCTAGGCCTGGAGGCTCCGTGCTTTGTTCAACAACCCTATGCTACTTTAACCATTTTTTGCCCTGTTCCATCAACTAAATCCCTTGAATCAACACACCTATGAAAAACAATGTCATAATATATTTTTAGATCTGCTCGATTGGCTTAATCTCATTTGTTGGTAGCCTTCTATCAACTTTGGCATATTTTCTTATGACCTTCTCGAACGCCCTTGGTCTTTGGCTTAAAGTCAACTTTAGACATGCATCATTTGAAGTAGGCTCGAAGGTGGCAGATCGAGTACTCTCGTCGAGGCGTTAGCAAATAGTTAGTCAATCTAGCAGGGAGATATGTGCGTAAGCGTTATCTCCTAAAATGTTGATAGTGCATCTATTTGGTACCCTTCCGTTCTGAATTATAAGTCGTTCTGAATTTTCTAGATACGTAACTTTTGTTATATACTTAGATATAAGTCATATCTAGATACATAATATTAAGTAAAGCTATGTATTAAAAAAGACGACACAACTTACAATTTTGAATAGGAGTATCATATATGTTGCGCTGACAGATAGTGTAACTCGATGATTTGCTATGTTCACTTGCACCCGACCCCGTATGCTGACTTATTATCTATCACACTTATTTGGTAGTATGATTCGCTTCCATTAACATAAGACAATTTTGACTCAAGGACAACAAAAGAGTTAGGCCATGTTTGGTAGGGCTTCTCCACCAGCTTCAGGAGTCGTTTGGAGCTGTTTTCTGTTAAACGGGGTAAAGTGAAATAGCTTCACTGGTGAAGCCCCTAAAAATATGCTCTCACAATGATTTGGGGTGGGATGGAGAAAAAAAAATGGTTTCTCTCAGCTTCTCCTTCAGGCCCCTAAAAACATGCTCTCACAGGAAAGCTATTTTGTCAAACGGTTTACCAAAACCGCTTCAGCCCCACTAGTGGAACTGTTCGTAAAGCTAAAGCAAAAAAAAATGACTTTACTAGTGAAGTAAAGCCCTGTCAAACGGGGCCTTATTAAGAAGGGAAAAAAAAAAGCAAAATGACCAACGGCTCTATGGCTGCGCTGCGCCTACGGAATTCACGGTGGAGACGAGTCCTGGCGTCCAGCTGCGGAGAAGTCGTGCTCGTGCACCACCCGCGGAGGTTACCCGAACCGGCATCGCGGAAATCGGACTGACCACGGTGCCGCTACCACTTTCAAAGGTTCGTCTCGTCTCGTCCTGCTGCTGGGTGCGGCTTTACCGGACCGCCAAATTCCTTCCCTCCCCGCCGCGCTACTGTACATTTCTCTGCAACCCACCGCAGCGCGCCACCGCCTGGGGCACAGCACGGAGCCACGGACGGTGCCGCCGTGCTCGATCCCGCCGCGTCACGGAATAGCAGCGTCCTCACGCTCCCGAACTTCACCCGCACCTCCTCCCCGCGATATCGCGATCTGATCCCGCCCCAGCGCAGCAGCCAGATCCGTCCCCCATCCAACCACCAGTTTCTCGGCGGAGGGTGGAGGTGGAGGATGTCGGCGGCGGTGGAGGAGCAGATGGTGGTGAAGGCGATCCGGGAGGAGTGCCCCTGGGAGTCGCTCCCCAAGCGCCTCCAGTCCACGCTCCAGACCAAGGACGAGTGGCACCGCAGGTACCCACTTCTCTGCTCTTGCCCTCTATGGATTTGCTCTGCTGCAACCAGCTACGCTTAGCTTTGAGCTATGGTAGTCCCAGTAGACGCCAATGCTGTGAAATGGCTGCTCTTGTGGCACTTATTTGGATCTCGTTCTCAACTAGCTGCTTCGAGGACCTCAATTTTGGTCGGGACAGTTGTAGTCGTTGTCTAGCAGGTCATATAGGTGAATCATAGGCTCCTTTGATTACTACATCTCTTGGCATTACTCTTTCCTAATAAGGGCACTGTTGGAGTAGCAGAATTGAACTATGAGTGCCTTCATTGACCTCGAGTGAAATTGGATAATTCTGAGTCTTGAAAATGGCTTGATATATCCTTCTCGAAGAAGGAAAGCACAGTTTGGTTAATCGTGAAACCTTTATTCTTACTGTTTTGTTACATACATTGTTTGCTGTCCTGCTGGCTACTAGTGATGTTTGCTTGAAACATTGGTGGCACAACATTTCTTAGCAAGCAAAATTGGTTCTATAGCACCAAACGGTCTCCAACTTGGGGAAATACCATTAAAAAGCACCGTTACATAAAATACCATCTAAAGAATGGATCCATTCCAGAAAATACCATTTTGTTACCTTTGTAGTTGTAGTTAACTGGACATCTTCCTCTCTATTGTGCAAGTGAATTGTCATTTCTACCCGCATCTTCCGCTCATCCTCCATGCAGCAGCAGTGCTGTTGGCCACACAGGCATGCTTGTTGCACTCGCACTGCTGGCCACGGTTGCATTGCTTTCCTTGCCTGCTCTTAGCCTTTGCTATCTCCTTTCTCAGGTGCTTCCACGCACATAGGGATGAAAACAGTCAGGGAAAGCCCCTCAGCTACTTTTAAATTCATATTTTTATGCTGAAATGGGAATGGGAGCCGGGAGCAGGAATGCTGGTCAGGAAAACAGAAACAGGAAATTCGGTATATCGGAAACGAAATAATGTGGTCGGATACACATCGATAACGGTCGGGAACAGATAAGCAAAAACAGGAACACTGACCCATTTAACCACTTCAAACATGCACCTCAATACAATGGATTAAAAAATTACATGAATACAATACATGTAAACAAGTTACTATCAGGCAGCAATAGTCCACCTTAATCCATCAGTCATTCAAGTATTCAACACATGCATTCGGCATATCAGCATGACAATGTCATGTAGCAATTGGTGTTTTTTCAATGCTTATAATTAACAAAGTCGACAATAGTAATATTCAGACACCTTAAGTAGTTCATATACTGTATACTAATAGGAATACTAAGCAGCACCAAAATTAAATGCACATTCTTGAAATGAAACAACACTTCCGTATCACCACCTAGCTTAGTAAAAATACCCTTCTTCCGTTTTTGTTTAGTATCTGCCACCTGAAAGTGTCCAGATATATTATGGAGAACACTGTCAAATTTACAACAACAGACCAGGGAAACAGAAAACGAACTAAGAAAAGTAAAAGTCTAAAGACTAATGTAACTAAAAAGCACAATTGAAATTATGGATGGACAATCTTTTCCAAGATGCCAAACAAAATTTCATTTGGCTTTTGCATCATCTCTTAACTACTAGTGAAAGAGGAGGTAAGGGCCTTTAGAGCCGCAAGTCTCCGTGCATGAATTTCAACTGGATCTGCGTGATTACGTCAGCGTCCCCTTCTTTGACTTCTGTGGGTGGGAGATCTCCGGCAAGCAACATGCTTGTCTATTTGGTGGGAGATCTCCGATGCGCTGCCGGACTGGGCGTGGCAGGGCCACAGGCTGGGAATTGGGGCGGCATGAGATGGTGACTTGGTGAGAGGGAGCCAGAGAGGGGCAGCTCTGAGAGAGACTCAGAGGGAGTGGCAGCTGGGGGCAGGGAGCAGTAGAGGATGGTTAGGGTTTGGCTGGGGACGCATCGGAGGCTGTGTAGGTGGGCTGGGACGCTGGGTGCCTGGGCCTGCAGTGGGCTGCCTGGCTGGAGGAGCTAAGAAAAGGGATTTCTGGCAGGAAACTTCCGCTGAGAATACAGGAACTGACCAAACGGTCAGTAAAACAGCTCTCCCGATTTCAATCCAGTATTCGACGGATTTTCCCAGATTTTATCCTGTTTCCTTTTTTTTCCCGAGAACATGAGATATGGATGGTTTTTGCGGCATACAGTGCCGGTCGGTATGGGATTTTTCCTTCCCGTTTCAGGCTGCTGCAGTCACAGCTATTGCTACTACTGCGTTGCTGCTCTCCTAACGCTATCTCCCGCCCATCTCTTTACCTAGTTTCCATTAGCTTGTGCATTGACCGGATGGGGCTGTGAAGATGCGGAGGGCTCCATTTGCGTAGTTAAGTAGGTCATGTGTGCACTGCATGCTTTGTGTACAAAAGTTGTATATATATATATTTTTTTTTTTTGAAACGGAAGCTTTTGTTGAACCAAAGAGCAGTACATCGAGTTGATACACAGACTTTGGAACACTCCCAGCCTCTGCCTGACTAAGAGGCACACAGCATAAAGGGAAACGGAAAATCAACAACTAATGACAGTCAATCCGTAGACTAGACCGCCACCCAAACGCCTGGCAAAAGAAGACCTTCGCCACCTGCTCCAACTGTTGCGAGACCACTGCAGCTATACCCTGCATATCCGACCGCTGGAGAATATCCCAAGAACGGAGTCGATGGGTAGCTGCATAAATAACCTGCAAAGGAGAATAAAGTTTTTTTCTTTTCAAAAACAATGTCATTCCTGTGCAACCATATAGACCAGGCAATCACTCCTGCTCCCAAAAGAACTAACGACCTCAACTCTTTCTTGACACCATACAACCAACTACCAAACATATGCGATATACTTTGGGGTTTTGCTAAATTCAACGCTATGTGAGCAACGCTCCAGACCGATCGCGCAAAACGGCAATCAATAAACAAGTGTTGAATTGTCTCGTCCTCGTGACAAAAGCAACAAGTTTTGTTTCCTTGCCATTTGCGCTTAATTAAATTATCTTTAGTTAACACAACACCTCTCCTCAAATACCACAAGAAAATTTTAAACTTAAGGGGAGCTTTCAGTTTCCACAGTCTCTTGTGAGTATTTGGTATTGGAGTTTGTATCATAGCTCTATAAAATGATTTCACCGAGAACTGACCATTTTGGTGCAAGGACCAATGAAATTCATCATGACCTTGTGATAAATGGAAACTACCCAAACGTGTCAGCAATTGATTCCATAAAACTAGTTTTGGACCTATCAAATCTCTCCTCCAAGAGATGTTTGGAGGCGTTGAAGCAAAGACTTCTGAAATGGATACAAATTGAAAAGTTGTATATATATATATACATGTTTTGAAGTGCTTCTTATATGATGTTTATTTTTTAGCAATTGAAAATATACTGTCAAGAAATAATAAAGGTAAAAAACTATTTTTAAAGACACCCTACAATAGTGGATGGTAGGAATACTTTTTTAAAGGATTTAATATCAGGATTTAAGATGTCTGAATTGCGCACCCTAGTAACCAGTTGTCAATATTGTTCAATATCAGGCATAATATCTTGTTCTACAAATTTTGATGGCAGCATTGTTGAGTATTGTATCCGAAAACGGTTGCAATGGAATACCTGCTTCGCCCGTAGAGTATGCAGAGAAGGGGAATACTATGAAGAAATGATGCGCTACCTTTGGAGGAACCTTGCAGTATGCTCCTCAATTCTCCTTTCTGGATAATATATAGGCTGGACAATAGCTTGGTTTTACCTTGTTTGGGGTTATTCAATCGTCTGCTGATAACATCAAGCATTAATAGATCCGCACACATGTTTTTTTATGTACTTTGTTTTGTATGCTGGATCTGCCCAGTTATCGTTTCTAGTAATTTTTTTATTGAGGTTTCTGTAGTTACCTCTGCAATGGGTTTACTTATGCACATAGCTTTTTCTCATCTGTTTGAACTGTTTACCCAAAAGCTTTCAATATTCCAACATCATATACATTGGTTTGCAGTTATACCCATACCACCTTGCAGACTATATATGCCGAGTAATGAGGATCTCGCCTTTCAGATATTATTGTGACATCCTTTTTGAAGCTATGAAGAATGGTAATCCTTTTTTTTTAACTGAAAAAGTTTATTGTGAGGAGTGAGTTTATGTTTCTTTAGCATCTACATGGTGCCATGGTAGTATCCTGCTGTTAAAATTTAATTTTACCAGAGGTTTTGGGCAACCCTAGTCTAAACTGCTTGACCATGTTGGTAAAATACATTCTTCAATGATTCTATTCTTTTTATTTGTAGAACAGGGTGACATACTGTCATGTGATTGCAAGACTGAAGCACTGTTCCACTATTTTTTTAATAAATGTTTATGTTTCTAACATGTTTGATTGTGGCAGAACAACCATATGATAGTATTCCGAACTTCACTGCTGCTGATGCACTAAGGCTTACTGGTGTTGGGAGAAACGAGTTTATCGATATTATGAACAAATGCAGATCAAAGGTAGTGCTGCCCATGGTCTTAGTTTTTTACTGTCACATACTCATGCAGTCTTGTTAACAGACATAAGTTTCAAATAGTTGATCATGTGAGTATGTGGGTAATCTACTTCATACTGAAAAGTGCAAATAAATGACTGCATGGTTTACAGATCTGAGATCAAAGGATAACAACAGAAATTTTCACAAGAAAAAGCATGTAGCCTTCAATCTTGTTGGACCTTAAAAGGATAAGACAGAATCCTAAATCATAAAACCAATACAGTCACAGTTAAACTGTGAGCTATTAGGGCCTATGTAGAATGCTAGACCATGATTAGCTATTGCATGGGCAATCAATCTAGTTGATGTAGAAAGTAATGAATAGTAACTGGACTAGCATGTTATACATGTTCTTAGTAAACATTTTTGTGTGTGATTTTTTTATGTTCTATTAGATATTATCTTTCAGCAAGATAGATCATTACAGATAATGTTTCTTTGTTGAATTTTCCAGAAACTAATGTGGAAGCTGAACAAATCGATCGCAAAAGAAATGCTGCCTACACAGCCTGTTGACTTCCCAGTTGAGCCTTGGTGGGGGGTCTTTCTTGTTAACTTTACACTGGAAGAGTTCAAGGTCAGGTTTGCTATATTTCTCGTATTGTGATACATTAATGTACTTTTGATACATAATATGATGAGACCTGTTCTTAATGAGAAAAGATGGAAGCCTGGCTTTCTTTTTACCTATGTAAAGCTATTCTTTTTATGAAGCCTTCAGTGATCTTTCATGAAGTCTTTTGATAATAGTTTGTGTTATTGGTTTAATGTAGAAACTTTCAGAAGAAGAGACAGCAACAATAGACAAAATATGTAAAGAGGAAGCCAATTCATATGTTCTTTTTGATCCGAAGGTTATAGATGGACTTTATAAAAGAGGGCTAGTGTACTTCGATGTGCCTGTTTACCCAGATGACCGTTTCAAAGGTATTAATGAGATATTTTGAGGGAACAATCAGTCCACCAGAATTAAGCTAACTGATTGGCATTGTGGCTCTATGTTTTGTGTTCATGCTTTCTCCTTATGGCATGCAAACAAGGATGATGCTCAGCCTTATAACCTAGTGTGGTTATGCAAGAAGACAGCATAAACGTTGGATAAAAAAATAAAACATCAGAGCCTTCTATAGCTTTATATCTTATTTGCAAAATCATATTTGGTAGATCAATATCTGAATAATAGGAGGTCCACTTTCAGGCAATGAACTAGCTTAACATGGCATATAGATGTGCTAAATAAAGACTTACTAAAATAACATAATATTTTATTTCCAATATACATGCATAAATATTTGATATTTATGTGATTATTTTATCCTCATTAGCATATCAAAATCCCCTGATCTTGAGCCTCCTTAGGTAAGAATTTATAAACTGCCTGTCGACTTTGTTATTCTAGACTGCTATATATCATGCAGATTTTTGTTTACGAATCTTATATTAAGTTTACTAATATAGAATTTGAAAGAGTTCATCATTACTGTTTTTCAGTTTCTAGGCTTGAAAATTTTGTTTCCAATAAGGATCAATCATATGAAGACCCAATTGAAGAGTAAGTGCTTACGGTTTTCTGTGTAATGATCTTCTATCTGTTATTCACATCTATTTCACATGTAACTTTCTGCAGTCACCATAGTAGTGACTTAAATTTTTTATTGCAGGCTGTTGTATGCTGTATTTGTTGTATCAAGTGCTAATGCTACTGTTGCTGAACTGGCTGCAACTTTACAAGCTGACCTCTATCAACTCCAAGCAGCTGCATCATTTGCTTGCCGATTGGGCTGGGCTACAAAAGTCATGGATGCAGACTCTGTTCTTAATGACGAAGGTGCACCTGCGTTTCCTAGTAGTATTCTTAGTGATGATGAAGAAGGTTCAAATACAAGTATCAACTCTGAGAAGTCTGGTCAACAATTGATTAGCACGGATTCTGATGGACCCAGGAAAATTTCTGGAACTGCTCATGTGGGCTTCGTTGTTGATGCCAATGTTACATCATACTTGATGATGGGCTCACTATCGCCAGGTTAGATATCGTAATGCAGAGTATTGGATTTTGCCCCGCATTCTATATGGTCAAAGATGCTTAGTTCTGCTATGGTACTACCATTTCATGAAAAAGAATGTCACAGTTGATTTTACCGCTGAAACTTGGACTACCAATTTTGCAAGAAACATGCATATAAATGATTATAAATGTACAATTGTTTATAGTGCTTTTAATGGTCAATCCAACAATAATGTTTTTGTTTATGTAATACTTTGAAAGTTACTGTTAACCAAACTTTGTAATGTGAAGTTAACAGCGACATTTAGGGTAAAAAAGATTTTCTGCAACACAGAAATCCAGCAAATGCAATTTCTTCTTTGAACAGTAGTTGGGATTTGCAATATGGATTAACAATACTATGTAGCCAAAATGCTTTGATGGATACTGTAATGACTACCTTCACCAACATCCTGCAGGGTTAAAATCTCATGCTGTCACACTGTATGAGGCTGGAAAACTGGGTTCTTCTTGCATTGCAGAGCTATGTAGTGATCTGGCTAGCTTAGAGGGAAAGAAATTTGAGGGTGTGCTAGAGGAGTTTGCAAGTCATGCATTCAGTCTGCGATGCTTCTTGGAGTGTTTACAGTCTGGTGGAGTTTCCGCAAATGAAATTACTGATAATGCTGGTGAAGCAAAGACTCCAAGAAGCTCTGTTCATGATATTGACAATGCTGCTGACCATTTGGCCAAGGTAAACATTGAGGGTGTTGCTGACAATAACCATAATGAAGTTTCCGATCATAACCAGTGTGTAGGTGATTTAGATAATAGTGATGGGAATATACTATCACCAGCTATGGCTATATCGGAACGTGCAGAAAGCATGGTTAAAAGTGATGACGAGAACGATTCAACCGTGCAGCTAGACGTTTCAACTGAATCTCGAGTTTTGAAGAACAAAAGGAAGTACAAAGTTGATATTCTTCGATGTGAGAGCTTAGCCTCACTTGCCCCGGCTACATTGGAACGGCTATTCCTTCGGGACTATGACATTATTGTGTCAATGGTTCCTCTTCCTTCTTCGTCAGTTCTTCCAGGCCCTTCAGGCCCAATTCATTTTGGACCACCCTCTTATTCCTCCATGACACCTTGGATGAAGCTAGTACTGTATACAGCAGGACATTGTGGACCTGTATCTGCTGTGTTCATGAAAGGGCTACGTTTTAGATTGCTGCCTGAACCATTAGCTGGTTGTGAGAAGGCACTGATATGGTCTTGGGATGGCTCTGCAGTGGGTGGCTTAGGGGGGAAGTTTGAAGGGAACTTAGTGAAGGGCAACTTATTGTTACACTGCTTGAATTCGATGCTTAAACAATCTGCTGTGCTGGTGCAACCACTTAGCATACATGATCTTAACGCGTCAGGAAACCTTGTCACTGTGGATATCCCTTTACCCCTAAAAAATGATGGTCAGTCAATTGAATCTGTGGTAGCTCAAACTAACTTGCCAAAGGAACAGATCTTAGATTTGACTTCTGTATTGAAAGACCTATCTAGTAAATTTGAGCTGAGCACACTTGGCTACCTCCGTCTACTGAGACTTCACAGGATTGACGAACCAGATAAATTTGACCCAGAAAATGTCAGCTACCAGTGGGTGCCTCTGAGCTTGGAGTTTGGGATTCCCTTATTCAGTCCAAAGTTGTGCGAGAAGATTTGTGAAAGGGTGATTGCATCCCATATGCTTCAGAAAGATGATCTCAATGTGCATTATGATGTGATGCAAAATGTAAGAAGGCAGCTGAGAGAACTTTGCAGTGAATATCAAGCAACTGGTCCGATAGCTAAGTTATTTAACAAGCGTGGAAGCTCAAGGGACTCGCCACGTGCCTTAATCAATAGTATTAGTGGCAGATGGAATCTCTCTAATGACCCTTCAACACCAACTAGTGGAGGAGCCCCAAGTGAACACGAGAGGCTAAAATTTGCTGGAAGGCAGCGATGCCGAACAGAAGTTGTGAGCTTTGATGGGAGCACTGTCAGGTATTGCTGAATAAATTACATTATCTACGTTTTAAGATTTCATGCAATAAATACTGATTTGATTATTATTCAACGTTGACATGTGTTCTGGATTCCTGAAGGTCATATGCACTTGGTCCTGAGCACAATGGGGCTACCTTCAGACCTAACTCTGAAGAACAATCATCCGTACATGACGTAAAACCAGATCCAGAGGAAACCGAGAGCAAGGATGTCGTCTTACCAGGAATAAATCTTATATTTGTTGGAGCCGAATTACACCCCTTTGATATTGCTGCATGCCTTCAAGCACGTCAGCCTCTTTGGCTTATATCTGAGGCATCAACTGCTTCATCGGCATTGCTATGAGGGGCTTATGATCCAATTTCTCCAAGTTGTCCGACAAAAATTCATTAGTTGTGGTTATTCAAAAGTATTGCCAGTCTGATTCTTAGGAAAACACAGTAGCGGGTTGATGCTTTGTTCACTATGGCTGAGTTCTTTCATAGGAATTTGATCAGATGCTCCTGATCAACTGGGATGCGCTGATGCTTTAGTTGTCAGACCCTATACCAAATTTAGGATAGCAGCTTGCTGTGAGAAACCGAATCCCTGAATGTTGCTTTTGGGTTTCCCATTATTGGGACAACCCAAGTTATCCTTGAGAGTGTTTCATGTTCTGCCAATAGTGACAATGTTTACACGGCACCTTGATAAGAGCTCCAGATTATCAAATGAGTACTAAACTGAAAATTCATGGACTAAATAGATTGGATGGGTTACAGGCTGTAACCCATCTTCGTTTGATCCTGGAACCATGGGATCGCGAGGGATTGTGGGGGATTAAATCCCGTACAAGTCAAAATCCTCCTCAGCCCCCTCGAATCCTCTGAACAACCGAAGGCCTTACTGGTGCCTGTCGGCTGGCTTAAATGGTTACACAATTAGCTTTCGTGTACTCTGCTCTATAGGCCTCATTAAGTGAAATCGCAGTTTCAGATTGCTACAAATTACTGTCTAAGAACTGAGGACCAGATTTCCAAGATCGTACGTACTTTGTTCATGCTTCAGAGGTCGGAAGTCTCTTTTTCTAAAAAAAAATACAATACTCTGAGCAGTATTCCACAAACTAATTTCTTTGATGGAAATGTAAGGAAAGACTTCACGTGTTTATACGATTTTCAGCATGCATACATTTCAAATTGTACCTTATTTTTTGCATTAGCTTTTAGGTTTGTTCTATCCTGCGATTTAGGCTAGGGTTTTTGGGTGTTGATGTAATGTTCTTTGTTTGCATTTCATAAAAAAATGTTCTTTGTTTGCAGGTTTCTTGGCCAATATATTACTCTGCTTTTCACTTGTGTCTCAAATTTCTTAGTGCGTGCTCCTACTTCAAGATTGTTTGCAGACTTACGGTCGTTCAGTTAAGAGGCTAGAGGCTACGAAAAGGCCGTAGATTTTTTTTGTCAGTGTAAAAATTGCCATGTAATAGTTCTGGTATAATGGCACAGCTTCCTTGTTTGTGGTGATCCCGTTGGGTCCCATGTCGTGCGACAAGCGTGTCAATTTTACGTTTACATGAAGGATTGTTAGCTCGGCTTTAGTGATTTTCCTTTCTTCAAAGTGTGAAATTCATGCCTACATTACTACCGTGAAGAAGCATGTATATACACTTCCTATCATTGTAGCATTTGCAATTATGCGGATATACATCAGAAATGTAGTAACGAACAACGACATCACTCATATGTGGAGATGCACAGCTTTTACATCTGTTGGCGATTTCACATGTCACCGTCCTTTCGCATTTTCTAGTCGTATCGTATGTATCCGCATGCATCTAGGAAGAATATTCGAACCTTTCGTAGTAAAATATATTTCCACACGTCCAACCAAGAGGGAACTCGGAGAAGATAATTCGAAATGTTTTAGAAACTGATACACGAAGCAAGATTACACTGGAAAGGAGGCTGACAGGGATCTAAGGAGACATTTCATTGTTGGCCTGAAATCAACTTTTTATGCTAAACCCTCTGATGAAGCGCCTAACCGGGCAACGGACCCGTGTCCGGTACACTGGCTGGGCTCAATCAGAATATGCCGGAGAGCAAGCTCGCGGCACTGGAGAGCGCAGCGCCGGTGATGGCGAAATGGACGAGCTTGTCAGAGTGGCCACCGGCGTCACCCGTGAGCGCCACCGCCGCCCCAGCAATTGCACCTGCGATCGCGCTGTTCTTCTGCACAAGGACGTAAACGGGCATGAATCAGCAGGTGCTTTACTTTGTTCTGTCGAATCTGTTCAAAGTTTACAGGCGAGACCGAGCCAAAACGGCAATCTGATTAGCTAGGAAATGGGCAAATGGCACTGACCCAGTCGTGGCATCCCCTGGCCTCCCTCAGGCCGTACGTGAGCCCAGAGTAGACTCCGGCTGCCAACCCTGCATGTCGAGAAAAAACATGGTTTACTTGTGGACCTCCAATTGTTAGATTAGATCTAAAGAGACTGTAGTCACAATCTCGTTTTGAGTTTCCTTGTGTTGGAGCTGAACACTCACCCCACTGGAAGGCCTCCTTGCCAGCCGTTTTTACCTGCAGCAAGTTTAGCATAGCATGTGAGAGAAAAAAAATAACGATTAATGAATCTGCAAAAATGATCACAGCTTTGAGCTGTGTTTGTAAGCTTTGAGCTGTGTTTGTAACATACCACTGCGTCGAGCGACCTCTGGCCGTCATCACCTCTGATGCTGGAGAAATGGTTCCTCTTGCCGCCGTCGGGGTCCAGCCCGGACGAGTCCCCTGAAAGCCCTGCAGATCGTAATAATGGACGGTGAGCACCAGCCGCGCGCTGCCGTATCACTCGCACAGCACGGGAATGCATGGTACCTTCGACGGTGACGAAGTAGGCCTCCCTGGAGACGGCCCTGGCCGCCCCGACCCCGGCGGCGCGGATGAAGGTGTCGGCGACGCGGTTGAGGAGCGGGTGGCCGAGGTCCAGGAGGCACCGCCTGTCCATGCTCGTCAGCTCGTCCTTGAGCGTGCGCGTGTCCAGCCTGCTCATCTTCTTCGTCGCCTCTTCTTGCTTTGCCCGGGCACGCACTCACTGCACTGCTCGCCACTCACTCACTAGTCACGGCGCGCCGTCGATGGGAGAGAGCTGGAATAATGCGGCGAGGCGGCCGTGGGGGGGACGCGTGTGCGAGGCCCGGCACGTGTCCGCGGTCGTGGCGGTCGCACCGGGGGCGCGTGGACACCGGCACACGGCGGGCGGTTTCCAGGGCGTTCGGCACTGACTCCCTCGGGTGTCGCGTACGAGTGGGCATCAGTCGCACTATGGGCTTCGAGGCCGAGGAACACGTCCTGGGCTGCGGCCTGCCTGTGTTGATAGGCCTGCTCCATCTTCCATGGGCCGAAGCAGGGCACCTAAAAGCAGGTGGGCGCCTGCCTGCGTTGATACTTATAGGGCGCTGTTAGCTGCCGGCTGGTCGGACCTAATGATCATGGGCCTTGGGCCTTATTCTCTCTCGGTTTTCTTTCTCTACTATTTTAATATGGTCCAAACAAAACAGACTTCAACTATGGTTTTGTGGCCAAGCAAGCAACAGCCATATGTTTCTCAAAAAAAAAAAAAGCAACAGCCATATAGAAGCTTGTATGCAAATGAAACAAAATTGCTTATGTCACCACTCGTGATAACATTTTGTAATAAAAAACAATCATATTTTATGAACCAGGTATCTAGATTAAATTCCGATTGTACTATAATGTTTTTTACAACAAATGCTTCAGACAAAATTCCACTTAAGTATATTGGGATAAAATTCATTGAAGAACATTTTTATCATAGAGATAGAATATTTTCTTTTTAATCTCTCCGTCCTAGAAAGGTAATAATATTTTGTATTGGGAAAGTCAAATTAACAAAATGTGACCAACAATTATTCAAATTATATATAATTTAGGACATGAAACATGTATCAATAATTCATATTCAAAGTGTCCCTGAGATGATATTGATTCTTTAGCAAATTACGACATACATTGTAAGAAAAAGTAATGGTCAAAATCTATTTTATTTGAATTTTCCCGATCAAATTACACATCATTTTGGGACGACAATGTTTTAGGATCATGATAAAATGTTCCTATAGGAAGTTTAGCATGTGACAATGTGTTCTAGGTTCATGATAAAATGTTCGTATAGTAAGTTTAGCATGTGACAATGTTCTAGGTTCACGATGAAATGTTTTGCATATAACAATAAGGTTAAACAGGGACAAAATGGGTCCATAATAAAATGTTAAGCAGGGGCAATGTTCTAGGTTCACAATATTACGTCTTCAAAAAAGGTTATATGATTCAGGATAATAATATTTTAGATTTAGGGGAATAAAAATTTAAGTTCAGGTGAATGATATTCCATAATATTCATGTGCACTAGTAGAAAAAGGAGGAACAATTGAAATATACCACAAAACATCTGATGAATACTAATCTTGAAACATCTCATGAATACTATATAAAAAATGAAAATACACAGTTTATGGAACATGGATATTTTGAGAAAATAATTCAGAATACATCATGAAACATCTAAAAAATACTATGTAAAAAATACATAATACATCATGGAAACATCCCATGAATAAAAATTCAGATTTCACCTCATAAATACTATAAGAATATTATTATTATATTATAGAAGAAATAAATAGTACAAGTGAATCTAGAATATATGGATACAAGGAAAAAAATGCTATGAAAGATATATCAAAAGTACAAAAATAACAACAATTAAATATAAAAAAATAAAAATGGAGAAAACAAAATATAAATGATGCACGATGAAAAATCTCCTAAATAATATGAGAACAATAAAAAATCTACCATAGATCATCTAATGAATATTTTTGAACAATAAAAAGTATATCGTAGAACATCTCATGACTCGTGATTCGTGAATATAAGGAAAATGATAAGATGTACATTATGGGACATCTCGTTAACAATATTAGAATGATAAAAGAATAGACTATCGAACATATGATGAATAATGGAACAATTCAAAATACACCATGCACACATGCCATGCATAATACACGAGAACATCTCATGAGTACTACTGAAACAATAAAAATACATCATAGAACAATTGTAGTCCTATAGAGAAATCATCATCCAAAATACACTGTGAAATATGTCATGAGTACTATCGAAACAATAAAAATACATCATACAACATATTGTAGTCGTATTGAGAGAAAAAAAGAGAGAAAGAACCATATTTTGCAGGAAGAATAAGTGAATTTATTTAAAAAATTAACAAAAGGAAAATGGAAATACACTGCAACAAAAGCCCACGTGGGATGCTCCCGACGGGTCACCAGCGAAGATTGGCGGTGTTGATAAGCCTCTTCACAGGTTTTCATATATATACCAAATGGACGAAATTTTCCACATATCATTGAACAAATGTTTTCTCTACTCCTGCCGTGTCGCGCGGAAGAATCGAGAATGAATCGCAGGTGACCGGGATCCTGCATGCCTTGCGTGGTCTGACTTCTGAGATCTATAGGTCCATATCCTCGCCCCATACTGGACTCGATGGTGGTGGTCCTCTTTGCATTGCATTGCATCTGTTTGTGTGTGTCCTTTGCCTTTCAATTTCAGCGGTAGATAAAGCTGCATGTCCCCGGCCCGACCGACGGACTCACCGAGCGTTCGTAGTGGAACTGGAACATGAGCTGAAATTCATGCCACTTTCTGCGTTCCAGGGGCCAGCCTCTCTTTAACTTGCTTCATTGCTTGTCATTTATGTCTTGTCACAAACTGCTCCATGTACGATTCCTTGTTGCACAGCCTCTCTTTAACTTGCTTCATTGCTTGTCCAAATATTGGGGCGGATTAAAGCAAACTGTGATTTTTTTGATTTTGTCTACATTTAGTACTCCATACATTTCATTTTATGACCGATTTCCATGACCGAGGTCACGTTTACCGGCTACGTACTCTGTTTCAGCCTGCCACCGCCACGTGCTCATAGTTTCAATTCCAAAACTTGGTAGCGTACGCGTGTTTTTTTTTAGATCGATGTTCACAGTAGATGTACGTCGAAAATGTGTTCACAACAGTTTTGCGCCTTGGATGCTCATCGGTCTAATAATCTGAAGCTACCCCCCTTAATGCACGTTACTGTTTCCACGTTGTGATGCGACGCTGATGCCGCGTTAAGTCTTTCACTTTCAGCGCTATTATTCTTCAAACATATTCAGCGTTAACAATCAATAATATTAGTATTACCAGATTTTTTTTTAAAAAATATTTTTATATACGTAGCATATAACTCATTCTATTTGAGATAGAATATTCCTATAGATATTACTCGACAAAGTATTATTCATGTACCACGTAAAGCACTAATGAATTTCAATTTGTGATGATGAGCAATACTAAATGAACAATTCAGAGATTACCAATAACTCAGTGTATTATAAATTGTAAATTAAGATACAATATCCATCAAATTAGGCATATGGGAAGGGAAAACCCCCACAATTTGGGATGACCTAAAGTAATTATCTCGCCATGACCAAATATGCTATAGAGATAGTTTGCTCAAATAGAGCCCTTTCAATTTTGGCATTTGGAATTTTTCGGACACCCCCAAAACTAGCTAAATTTGTGAAATTTCAATGAGGTTTTGCTGATGTTTTAAAAACTTCAACTGGCCCCGTTAAAATTGGTATGAAAAATGCAATGTTCATGCTGAAAAACACTGTTCCGCTGAAAATGTTTTGAGAGAAAAATACTATTTCGGCTGAAAAAAGAAGCCGAACAAGCCGGCTTCTTAGTCAGCCGAACGACACCTCTATTTTTATTATGTAAAACAAAGTATTAGTATGATTTGTGACTACATATTCTTTGAGTAAAATAATATACAACATAAACAATAGAAAATATAAGTCTATAGTTATATATTTACAATAAAGCACATGTAGTAGTGTAATACAAAATACCATTAATATAAAAGTTCGATTAGCAGAATAGCTATTTTTATTTAGTTTAGGAGGTTAAATAGGACAAATTGTTTGAGAGGTGGGCGACTTATTTATCAAGAGGCCAAATGCATATTATGGTTGTATGAGTTATTATATACACAAATGGGTTTTGCGTTAAACATCTATCCAGGCATACGCTTGTGCTACTATGTACGTAGTCTTGTACGAGTATGCACCGCTTTCCTGGCGCTTGCTTAAAGACATGGGCTCCATCATATTATGAACTCTGAATCTGAAGTGAAAAGGGAATAAAGTGGGTGGATCTGTACAGGATCACTGTCGTGCGCCTATATTTATACGTTCTGCGGTGGTAGTACGACGTCAGTGCATTCATATAAAGGGGGAGATGGAGGCGATCGGTAAATCCAACATTGCGCCAGCTTTCTTTCCCTTTTTCTTTTTACAAATTTATATATGTTGATCTTTTTGGCAAGATTTTTTTTCAGGTTTTTAGAAATGCCACGATGAGGTAGTACATAAGCTTGTGGCTTGTAAACAATGCTTTTCTTTGCGTGCTTCCCGTTCAGGCGTTCACCCTGAAGGCCTGAACAATGGAGCGGTACATTTTACAACCTTGTACATGATGAATGAATATAATGATTGATTTATGAACACTAGATGAATGCCTTGTTCCTCAGCCAACCAGGATGACATGCTGCTGCTGCTGTTGCTGTTGCTGTTGCCCTGACCGTGCAGCCGGGCCAATCTCAACGCGTGTCTCCTCTGCTCCTGCAGCACCCAACATACAGAATTATTACAGGTCGTCGGTGACAAAAAAAAAAAGCAAAAACATTCAGCAACCTAGTACCTGTTCCGCCAACTGTTGCTTTGCCAGCACCCAACGATATTTATTCAGAAGTGGCAATCGATGGACTTACCTGGAGCAGCTGCAAGCGGTACTGCCTCTGTCCCTGCTGGATCACGGAGATGAGCCTCATGACAACGTAGAACGGAAGCAAGATCCCGCTCGCCCGCAGCAAGTATACCTTCCATTCCAACCCAAGGAAGAAACAAATGTTGTGTTACAGTCGAGCCAGGGGCAGGTGAGGGAGAAGAAGAGGTGGAGGAAAGAAGAAAAATGGAGAGAGAGGAAGGAGAAGAGACCAGCCCCTCACTTCAATCATGTTCTGCATCCGCCACTTAGTCAAGCCAACAAAGGCGAATATTCATTCAGGTGGAGTAGGACTACTCACTGTGAGGAGGCTGATGGCGAACTGGTTGGCTGCTCCGACCGTCACCACGGTGACCAGGTGCCTGAGCAGCAGGACGATCGTGAACTGCAGGGACAGGCAGAATGCCAAGTTCAGAATTCAGACACGATGCAAGGGTCAGAAACTGAAACTGGAAATGTGATTGGGTTTTCTGTCAGTCAGTCACGTACCGTGACGGCCACGGAGCGGCACCAGGACGCGCTCCTGCCGGCGGCGCGGGCGCACTCGGCGTACTCCGGATCGCTGGCTCCGATCAACGCCGCGTCATCCTCCTCGGGCTCGTACTGCAGCCTGGGCACCTCCACGCTGTCTCTGCACATACACCACGCAAGCACAGATCAGCAACGCGCGTGGTGGTTGGCAATGGCAAAGGCAATGGCTGGTAGTAACTGTTCTGGTGGTTGCTGAACAGCCCAGCTCGACAACAGATTCCACAAATTTTCTTCTTTTTGTGAACCCGATAATGCCATGCTTTTGTCTTCGCCAGTCACATTACAATTAGAATTGCAGACGCATGATTGGTCGTGCTGCAGCAACTACTGATGAACGGACGGTTTGACTCCTGTGCCAACGGTGCAGGACAGCAGGGTGGAGTGCAGGGCACGGTTTGCATCGCATTGGTCTATTCCAGCAGATGTGCAGCAACAGTGCAAGGGCATCCGCATCATATCATCTTATCTGCCATCTCATGCGGCGATACAATGATTGGGACCCAACCGGTGGTTGGCTTGGCTAACTAACGGGAACAGCTCGGCCAGTCCCACCCACCTGGCAGTGGCAGCCACACAGCCCCCACCCGCCTCAGGAATCCTGAAGAACACAACATGCTGCGACAGCTGCCAGAATGGAATGTGCCTGACCAGCACCACTGTTTGATCAGAATGCTTGTTTGCCTGTGACTGTGATACAGGCCATGCCATCTTGGAATTTGGCTGGTGGTAGTATACGAATGCGATGAGCTATCAAGAGGAGCGGGTGGTTGGTCGTTTAAGTGCTTGTCTCGCTGGCAGATTCCATTTAATCGATCAATGGAAGATCAAAGATAGGTTGGTCAGGTCAGCAACTTAGCGAGAGAGCCAGTCCCTCATACTTGACCACTCGGTTCAGATGAGGATGAGGATGCCAAACAAAAAAGAAAGAAAGAATCAAATGGCCGAAATGGATGTTCAGCAAAGCAAGGGACATCGGCAGACACACACTTGTTGGCGTGAGGTTCTGACTTCTGATGACAGTTTTTTTAAATTATGGAACAACTAGAACCGACCTACAATTAAACACAACATTCACCTTGTTCGATAGCCTTAATGCGCGTATCAATACCATTGCCCAGTTAAGAGAGAGAGAGAGAGAGAGAGAGAGATGCACACCTGATGGTCACCGCGACATCAGCAGGTTGGCTTTTCTTGGGAGGAATGGTGTAGCCCGGCTCAAAGTTCTGTCAGTAGAAAAAAACACCACACGGCTGTTATTAAACAAAAGGCGAAACTGCACAAGTAGTACCATCAGAGGGACCTTCCTATCTCCTACGTAGCTTTGATTACTTGGACTCTGAGAAAGATACAATACTTTGCTAAAAAAGCACTTGTGGTTAGATTGATCTCCACCCGGCTTGGTCCAAAGACCGAGTCGGACCTGACTCGTGCCTTGATCGGGGACACTCAGCCCACCGATGGTCTGCCCACCGATCATGGCTTTCTCCTCCGATCAAGCCCACCGATGTCTGCCTCTCTACATCCCTCTCTCTCTCCCTCTAGTTTTCTCTCTTGTTTATTCCGAATAGAAGAGAAAAACTCCACTGATCTACGCCTAGAGGATCATAGAAATCTATCACTTGCATGCTGTGATCAACAAGGGAGAATGGCTCAGGAAGATAGTCTTTACGAAAGCATTGCTCATGCCATCCATGCAGAATTTGAATTTGTTCAGGGAAAGGCGGAGGCAAATTCATGATCATATAAATTTCTTAAACTTCACCCGAGTTAAATTTTCGTCCAACTCAAGCTCAGGGAAGGGGAAACTTCCATGGATAAAACAGTGAGGAACAGTGAACGGGCAAAGAAAATCGGAAAGGATTATTGGGTGATCAAACGACAAACCTGAAGGCAAACCTCGCAGATGGTGCTGCCCTTCTCGTCGCACCATCTCTGCACGCATCCCCTGTGAGCGTACTGCAGGCGCGAGGAACACATCATTCAGATGACTTCGTGACCATCAGGCGAAGTGAATCCATGAGACACAACCGAACGGAGCAAAGGTCGAGACTCGAGAGCCCATCAGTACGATGCGCATAGCCGCATAGCACAACGCACATACCTTGAGGGAGCCGGAGCAGGCGCAGGGCGACTCCATGGTGGAGCGCCGCTCGTCCTCCTCGTCATGGCAAATCCTGCACTGGCGCAGCGAAGAGGAGCAGTAAGACGAGCACGCCTCCTCCTGCTCCATCTTCTTCCTCCTCGCTCTCTCGATTCGCAAGCTCCGCGTTCTCTGTGTCCCTCTGGTTGTTGGCTACTCTGCCTTTGCTCCCTAGCTCGCGGGCCTGAACGCAACGGAAATGGCTTTAAATCAAATAATCTGGAGGAAGGAAGGAAAGGCAAAGGGAAGCGAGGTGGGGCCCACCGGCACCAGGAACGGCCACGACAGCTCCCAGCTAGTCCCGGCCCTCCGCGGCGGGCATGGCTCCAGTTAGCTAGGTATTGTTTAGATTGGGGTTAGAAATCAGTATTTGGCATTGTATTATTTTCGTTTATATTTGATAATTATTATCTAATCATGGTCTAATTAGGCTCAAAAAATTTATCTCGTAATTTACAATCAAACTGTATAATTAGTTATTTTTTATCTATATTTAATACTCTATGCATATGTCTAAAGATTTAATGTGATGAAAAGAGAGTGAAAAAACTTGCAATCTAAACAAGGCCCTAGCTTCCTCCGGTGATCTGCGATCTGGGGGGCTCGATGCAGATGCGTCCCTGCGCCTGCCGTTCTGCGTGATACGTACATGTTTGTTTGTATGAATAAATTTGTTGCCATACCGCCATGCGTGTGTGTATAGGCAGTAGTACTCAAGTGCTACTTTCTCCCGTGTCAGACTTCGTTCCTTGATGCGAACGGTAGTGTGGTACTCTACTCCGATTTTAAAACCGACTCTTTGAAGCATATTTCTTAATAAGAAATTAGGCATCCAAGATCTAAGGTTATAGTCAGATCACATGTGTTTATATACTATCGGAATCATCGGATCGTCAGAAAAATTGTAGAAGCGCAAATTCGCATGGACTAGATCGAAGAATCGCCCTCTAATTCTGATCGTAGAGACGCAAAATCGAAAAAACTAAGACTTCGACGACAATGTGTCAAATCCGAGAGAACGTGTACGTAGTGCAGTGGTAGGATGCAAGAAGTGCACCTACAAGTCAGGGAGTTCAACTCCTTGTTGTGAAAAAAAGTCACTCCTTGGCCTATTTCAAAGTCCACTAATTCAAGCAGATGCGTCCTCGCTATTAGTGGCATGTCCTAATTAGCTAGAGTTTATGGCATTTTCTCGACCCGGCATGACCAAATATGCCTCAAGAAGGTCTTACCCTTAGCAGTTGAGCTTTTTTTAAATTCCTGTGCCACTTTTTTCAAGACTGTTCACAGATTAATATGTTTTTCGTTCCGTTTAATATTTAACCTTCTCTCCAACCGTAACGAGATAGACCCTCTTCTCTTGTGTCTTTAACAAGATGAATCTTGAAATTCACAAAAAAAAAAGATGAATCCAGTCCAGCCAATTATGTTGCTGTTAGAAATTATGGTCTTATAAAAATAAGTTAGCCTCAAAGATTAATTGGCGGAAGTTAAAGAAAAAGAGACGCCCGACAATAAAGTGGCACATAAATATTATGGAAGGGACAATTCATTACGATGTGTTAGTTGTGGTGTATGGAAGAGAGTAGATAGTGGGTGGGGGTGGGGTGGAGGGTTAAAAATCTAGCATAGCTGAAGACAGAACAAACAAATATAGTAGCTTGAGGAGATCTCAATGTTAATCACGCTATCAAAATATATTCTACAAAGAATTTAGTACATATATTATTGCATTTGTTTATAAACTTAATTAAGGTCGTTAATGAAGTTTAATTTATGAAATAACTAAAGTGACGAATTTCGGTGGTGGCATATCGAAGAGGGGGAAAAAACCAAAACCATTAGGCACACAAAAGAGTAGTCAATCGATTTTGATTTATTAGTTGTGCAACCTGGTGAACCTTTCGGCTAGGAACAGTCAGCGAACAGCCGAGCTGGGATATGCAGCATGTTCGTTTGGTCGTATTTGGCTTATAAGTTATGACTTATCAACCAACGAATAATATTTTTCTCTCACACTAAACCAACCAATAGTACTTTCAGTCATGCCTTATAAACCAAATTAGCCCAAACGAACAGGACGATGATGGTTCTTAGTGGCCAATCCAGTGGCTCTAGTCACTTTTAGAGAAAAAGAGTTCGTACATGACCTACGCTAGATGCCAAAACAGTGAAGCCACTCTCGTTTTTGCTCATCTCTACTTGTCTGTCACATTCAGCCTGTTTGTTGATTGGTTGGTTTCAGTCAGGGCTTATCAGATAGCCAATAGTATTTTCTCTTATAATAAACTAGCACTAGCCGAACTTATCATGCTAACAGGAATTCATAATCCTACCGTTGCATTGCAAAGGTTTCCTTACCCGTTCAGCTCTCTCTCTCTCCAATTTAGCTACACAAGCTTGTGGCAGTTCATTGTGGTCGACTGGTTGTGTCTAGCCATCTAGCTATAGCTGAATATTCCGGTAGCTACTGTACTCGTGAAGAATGAAACTGATCGAAAATTTTAATAGGAGCCAACAGTAGTCTATTTGAAACCTTGTGCTTGTGGTGGTAGGACCCACTGGCCAGAGGCGAGGATAGGATGTTCTTTTTTAGGACCAAGGAGGATGTATGTTCCAAGGGCAGATCGAGCTGGCTACCAACTAATCTGGTCGGCCACGCACAGGTTAATTTAGTGTGGCACTATCGTCACACCGACGTGGAGAATCATGTCAACAGGCACCAGCTATATGTACTCCTATAGAGAGAGAGAGTAAAATGCACTAGAGGTTCATTAACTTTCGTTATGGTGTTATCTAGGTCCATCAACTTTGAAACTGTATTTTTGAGTCCATTAACTTTCGTTTGGTGTCATCTAAGTTCATCAACTTTGAAACTACATTTTTGGTCCATGAACTTTTAAAATGGTTCACTGCAGGGCTTCAGCCTCTGGTCTTTGCGTCGGTGGAGCCATGCCTGCACTCGCCATCGTCGCTCGTCCACGGACCGCTCGTCGTGGCTGGTCACGCGGATCACGGCCGCCTCCAGCTCGGGTCTCCTCAGCGCCGGCGCAGCCACCCCAAAGGTCGGGCGTGGAGCTCGCGATGCTGCAGGTGGATGAGGATGAGATGCAGTGCAGGCCTCTGCAGGTGGATGAGGACGCTGGACCCGGAGAACGGCTCCAAGATGATGGGCATGCTGCTCATCCAGGACAACATCGACAAGGAGCTCATCCGCCTCGCCTTCGGCCCGGAGCATCTGCTCCACGCCTTGAAATCGCCACCACCACCGCCGAGCTTCGCCGGGCAAGCCAGCGTCTCCGCCGTCGCCCGTGCTCGGCCCACGCATCGCACCGGCCCCGCCAGGGCCTCCCGAGCCCCGGCGTCGGCCACCACCAAGCACCACCAATCGCCCTTCGCCGCCGACCAGCTCGGGTACGACGGCGCGCCGACGCGTTTACGCCGACGACTACGACGTCTGGTCCCTCCTGCGGGGGGCGCCCACCGCCGAGCTTCTCGCTCGGCGGCCGCCGGCGCGCGGCGTCGCGTCGTGGAGGCCCTGCATGTACTACGCACGCGGGTACTGCAAGAACGGCTCCTCCTACCGCTTCCTCCACGGCGTGCCCGAGGACGACGCCACCGAGCGGGAGATGGCCGTCATGCGCGCCAAGGCCCTAGCCGCAGCTCATGGCGTCCGCGTACCCTTCTCACCATCGCCCAAAGGAGGCATTAGACTCAGCTTCCTGCTCCAGCAACATCAGCAGCAGAGCGAGACCCAAAGGTGCCATTTTTACCGCTCGTCGTGGCTGGTCACACGGATCACGCCCCGCCTCCAGCTCAGGTCTCCTCAATGCCGGCGCAGCCACCCCAGAGGCCGGTCGTGGCTGCAGCGCCGCCACGTGCGTCAGGTGGCGCAACAGGTCTCATCGTGGAGCTCGTGATGCTGCAGGTGGCGCTGCCGGGGAGGAGCGGTTGTCGGACGCCAACACGATGACGTCGTCTACGGCCACGCCCAAATCCAGCCTGTCTCGCCTGTGGGCAACCCCACAGTAGCCGCACACATGCATGGGAAGGGAGAGAGACAAGCTAGCAAGGGTCACGAGTGCTCTTCTTGCTTCATGCATGGACGACGCCATGGCTGAGCTCGTGGAGCTTGTCTCGGGTTGGACGGAGGGAAGCAGGGCGAAGACCACAGGGAGGGAGGGAAGAGCGAGGGGATGCTCATGAGCTGCTCACCTCGTCCTACGATGACGGTCAAGCCCGGCTCGTGCATACGGCCGATATCTGATATACACGCGTGTAAGCGAAGCTAGAGCAAAGTGAGCGAGTAGTGGCGAGCGTCTTCTTTGGGTGGTGGAGGAGAGCACCTTGGCGTCGCCTTTATAGGCCGGAGGAGGGGGGGGTTGGTGGCGAGCACAACAACTCGCCTTCAATGACAAAGACCTGCAGCGGGCGTCGGCTTATGGCGTCCGCCGCTATGCGACAACAGGTGGCGCCGAGGCGATGGAGCGTCAGGGGAGGATGTGATGGCGCGGAGGGTGAGTGGAGTAGGGCGGCGTGTGTGCCTTGCTGCAGCAGCGGGTGGCGATGGTGTAACCAACTTGCTCTCGCCATGGCTCGGGGGTGATGGGGCGACACGGCGAGGGGCTGGTGGCGTAGTAGTGGGGAGGTGAACTGAACGTGAACACGCGGTGGCGAGCTCAAATTGCTGTGTGCTGCTTCTTCTTGTCGCAGCGCGCACTTCGTGGGCGAGCGGGCAATGTGCACGGCCTCAGCGAGTGTAGGCATGGCTCCACCGACGTAAAGATTAGAGGCCAAAGCCAACGTGCATGCATGCATGCGTGGACCTGCAATGAACCATTTTAAAAGTTTATGGATCAAAAATGTAGTTTTAAAGTTGATGGACCTAGATGACACCAAACGAAAGTTAATGGACCCAAAAATACAGTTTTCAAAGTTGATGGACCTAGATGACACCCCAACGAAAGTTAATAGATCAAGCCCAACTGGGAGAGATGCGGAGAATTTTTATATTTTAATCATTTTTTATTTAATATTTTAATAACAGCCAATCCAAAAAAATCAGATCTAACCCTTTTGGACGTTCCAGT